CAGAAAAACTTACCTTGTTGCAGGCCGCACTAAGTTGTGTGAATGATAGGTGTGCATCCTTGAGCAAAAAGTTTATCTGGTTCTGGTGCGGATTAAACATCGCGTCCTGGCTACAGCGGAAGCAGTGAGAATTCGCATTCACAATTCCACCTTGTATGCACTAAAACAATTTGTGAACGCAGTGCCTCCCACAACCCGCCATCCACCGCGTTTTCACCCGCACATCTCAATCTTCGACTGAACTCGGACTAAACACCATACCGGAAACAGTAGACACTATATTTTTCAAGTTCGTTAATTGATTATCATTTTTGAAAGTAAAACCTTCGCTCTCCTGTACTTTTTCCGAGTTATATAAATTGTAATGTGTTAGCCAAAGAGGACGAATCATTGAGAACAAGTTTTGCTCGCTACGTCATATTCTATTCAAAAATGTTGTTGGCGGGCTAATGGGATGATAATCTAACAATCTCCTAACCAGAACAAACAAATCACTCTCGGACTAAAGGAACGTGACCAAATGGCTGAGGATGGATATCCATCAGGGTTCCGACAAAAAGAGTGTTCAAAAATCCAAGGAACCAAAATTCCAAAAGGGATGGGATCGCAACTGGTGTCGTACCTTGGAACACACCAGATGACATTCAACGAATATCAACGCGGTTCCATGTAGTGAATTCAGGGCCTAAGAACCGTAAAGCGAAAGCGACCGAAAGGTGGCGCTGTGCATAAGCGACCTTTCAACGTCGCACAGTCACCGGAATTGTCTCATTCCTTCTAAGACCGCNAAGACCGCTTGAGCCTTGTAAATGCGCTACTATCGTCGGTCATACAATTAATTGACGAAAAGCATGCAACCTCATCCACTTCCTGATCACATGAATTGTGAACAGCACTACTCGACACCCAGTATTGCAGCATCACTTAGCACTTTAAAGGCATAAGGCGCATACCAATTGGCATAACAACACTCGTTAATCTGTCCAGTGTGCTTTGCGCCTCCTTCGTACATTAAAAAAAGACGACGAATGAAGTCATTGTACTCTAAATCGCACAGATTTTCTCTAACGGTCCACTCAATACCAAAACTGTGGAGACCATGTAGTGCGTTTTCCAATATTTTGTCTACAACCAAATGGAACAGGAATGGCAAAATAGGGCACCCTTGACGAACACCCTGCTTAGTTCGTTATAGACCGTCATTCGACCAGAAGTATCAGTACAGTTACTTCAGTAAGTCACCGTACTCCTTTGAGACGACACAAACCTATTAGAGCTTCGAGGAACACAGCGACGCTGATAAACATTGTGGTTGGCGTAACTCGGGGGACTTGGTGCTAAGCGAAGCTTTGGCTAATAGACCTAAGATCTGGTAGTAATCTTGTTTGTTGTTCACAGATATTCGTCTTACGTAAGGTCATCAAACGTGGAATCATGACAGGGATCAATATTCTGGGAACCATTGGGATCAAACTGATTCTGCGGTGGGTTGCGCAGTCATTTCAAGGGGCATTCTTGAATTTTCTTACGACCAGTGATCCACCACACTGATGGAATGCGCCCATGTTCCACGGCATTTTATCCTTTCTCTTTGACCAAACACGATTACCAATATTTACTTTTTGCTGTAAGAGGTAGATGTGACAAGATGAATAACAACACTGCTCGAATACAGAGAAAAAAAATCAGTATTTTACCAGAATTTCACGTCAGGAACACAGCTATGTAGTAATTCACGTTCTGTTTTATGCAATCTTCAAAAGCAATTGATCCAACTCAGCTCCAATTTATATCGCTCAAACATTGGACACGCGGTGCAGGATACCCTGGACTCAACCGTCGAATCACTTTTCCTAAGCAAGACTGTTGAGTGATAGTGTTTCAGTTTGAGTAGAGGAGTAAGGAACATGGGTTTGCACAATGTATCCGTGGTCATTTTGCTGCATCTGTACACGTGCATACTACAGTCACTGATTTTTATGTAGTCAGTGAGATGAAGACGTGATCGTTAATCACAACGCACAACACGACACAGTAACACAAAGAGCGGGAGAGGGTAGGCGGTTAATCATCCAGGCAAAGCTAATGTGACTAACCATTCACGTTGTTTGCATAGATCTGGTATGAATGGCTAAAGCCTCGGCAAATGTCAATAACTTTGCGTTTGTTGTGCTGTCAGTATCTTGAGGTTCGTAGGTTGAAGTGACGCAATGCTGCCATTTGATTAGGTGTTGCGTTATCGAAGGTCCAAGTGTGCTCTGCTCATTCGATGATGTAACAGTTTGAAGCTTGTCGTCCATCGCTTTGTTAAGCCACACCGGGATGTGTTCGGCTATTCAGTGACGTAACTCCCCCTCTGTCTTGCCTATGTAGATGCCTGAGCATACGCACTTGAATTGGTAAATAAAGTTTGATTTGGCGGAGGGGGGCAATGGATTTTTCACCGATGTCGATGGTATCCGGGTGGTAGTGAAGACAATGACCGGGTCAACTGCGTAGTAGACGCGCTTGACGGTACAGTTCAACCGCTTGCTGACTAAATCATTCACGTCATCGCCTTTGCATTATAACTTAAAAAAACTTTCATTTTGGGAGCAGTTATTGGTTTTTCTACTTTTGATGTTGCTTTGCAATGTTTGGCGGTGATTGCAAATGGATATCCGTTTGCGTACGGAACTTCTTTTAAGAGGTTAATTTCATCGTGTAAAGAGTCCTCTGGGCATAATTGATGCGCTTTATGAAATAGTGTGCGAATGAGACCAATTTTGTATTGCACGGGGACGAAGCTAGTGAAATGCAAATATTGGGTAACCCTTATCCTCTCTCGTTCTTTGTGTTACTGTCGTGTTGCGCGTTGGGATTAGCGACCAGTCTTTATCTCACTGGCTGTATATATATATATATATCCTCCCTACCCATCCTTTCTCAACGACACCAAAAACAATCACAAACCTCGAATGACACAGCTGTTGACGAACATTTTAATTTAATTTTGACTATATAACTGTATTACCTCGAAGAAAAAGTTGTCGTAAACGAGGTTGTTCGCTAAAACCACTGTGTTTATATAAAAATCACTGACTGCAGTATGCACGTGTACAGATGCAGCGAAATGACCGTGGATACATTGTGCAAACCCATGATTCTTACTTCTCTATTCAAATTTGTGACGGGAAAACACTGTTTTCAGTGTTTAAATTCACATTTTTCGAAGACTGTTGAACAGTGCAACTCTGTAAATGCGCTATCGTCCGCTTGAATCTGCTGTCAACATTCTCATCATCATTCTGCTGTTTTATCCGAATGATCAACGAAAACCGGTGCAAGAAAGTGCATGCTTAATGGTTGTAAGAACTGAACCGTTTCGTTTCGAGTGCATTTGCACAGGTGGATACCGTAAAATTCTTCCAACTACACTGCCCAGTCTCAATAGCGCAAACAACGGGAATCTTACTTACCAGGGTTTAGCAGTTCTGTATTTTACAGCATCAATGCATTGAAATGGAAAACACTGGAGAGATGGAAAATATTGCGTTCGAAACTAAGTGATGCACACCTCGAATAGCCATCAGGTAATATTGCCATTTTTCTAAATCGATAAGAATAAAGGAGTAAAACTCCCTGAGAATGGATGAATAAAAAAGCGTACAGCGTACAGTGATGTGTCCTGCCTTTGAAGTACACACACACACACACACACACACACACACTAATAACCGGGCATTACAGTTCTCATCGAATGCGATTCACGAAGGCTTCGTCCATGGGTCGAATGATTGGATCTGACGCGCGCATTAGGTTTCCGGTTGATCACGTTTAGTGAATAGAAATCTCACGTTTATTCAACTGTTCCGTGTCATCCTCGTCCGTGAATGCCATGTGATCTGGGTTTCGGATGGAATGGAACGGATGGTGCGTCGGTTGCACGGCATTCGTTGTTTCCGATCCCGATCGAATGTGCGCATTACGTGATATACACGGACCTCGCCGAACCGCAGGGATGTGTGTGGACATGGGCCCGGTGGTAGAAACCGTCGCGGGGTCTGGTACAGGAACGTCACCGGAGTAGAAGAAACTTGCCGCACGAAACTCCTCGTCTCCAAATCGTGGCCCCAACAGAACACACAGATCGTGGAAGGTGGGTCGATTGTGTGGATCAAAAACCCAACAATGAGTCATCAGCTCATGCCTACAGGAAGTAGTATGGGAGGAGAATAAATGGACCAAAAAATTAGGACAATTAAGACAATAGTGTAGTTTCATTGCCTTAAAGGATGGAGTGAGAAAAAACGGTTGAACTTGAAAATGATTCTAATCCGAAACGGGAATCATTTACTTCTAATTCTCGTTTAACTCACAGTTACTTGTGAATAGTCGGTGTAAGCTAAGTGTTATTGATTCGACGGGCCACAAAGAAATGATCACCGCTGAAGATAACCAAAAAAACATAAATTGGAAATTCCGGTCGCCTTCGGTGTGGTTTGGTTGGAACAGTGTTAACACAAACCTTTCAAGTGATGATGGGTCCGGACGGAGGATATGTACTACTGATGAGCTCTAATGACAACCACGCTCGAGTCTAATGCCGTTGATTGGACGAGCTAGGAATCGTGTATGAAGATGAGATCGGACGAACGGTCAGTTCACATCAATTCAATTTTTGAACTGTTATTTGAGCAGTACTACAGGAGTCTGGTGATATCACCGGACGAGGTTGGAAGTGAGAATATGAGGTAATTGCGGTCAAGCCAAGTTGCCTGAGTGAGAAATGATGGTGAATTGTAGTTGCGTGC